CAAGGCCATATTTTCCAAGTACTGATCCTTCCTCTTTGTTCCCAACCAACCTTTGCATTCCAATCACCAGTGATGATCAATACATCTTGATTGCATATTTGATCAATTTCAGATAGAAGACGTTGATAGTATTCTTCTATTTCATCCTCACTGGCTTTAGTGGTTGGTACATAAATTTGAATAATAGTGGTATTAACTAGTCTTCCCTATGTTATTGTTGTTGTTATGTGCCGTGGAGTCGGCTCCAACTCATAGCGCCCCTGCACACGCATGTATATTATCCTCTCACAGAGAGCATTGTACTTCATGACTGATCCGATATGTTCTTTTTGACAATGAAAGCAACACCATTCCTATTCAATTTGTCAGTCCTGGCATAATCAGTTGAGCATTAGCCATTTCTTTTTGGTGCCGTTGCTCCATGTATTCCTTCCATCTTCTTTTGATGAATTTTGTATCATTCAATATTACCCATATTTTACTTAAATATTTTAACTTGAGGTTTGAATCTTCACTTCTTTCAGCTTGAGAAATACTAAGCATGTTCTTCTCCTTTTTTCTAACTCTAGGTCTTTGTAGATTTCATTATAATACTTGACTTTGTCTTATCGAACTGCCATTTGAAATTTTTTATTCAGCAGTTTTACCTCTTCATTTCTTCCATTTGCTTTAGCATCACTGAGTTGAAGAGCAAGTTCCGAAGTCGAAGGTGATGAAGATGCTTTAAATGGAAGTTTCTCAAAATCTACAAAACTCTAGATTATACTATAATACTTGCTTTTTTTTTGATAAGCTAACAAATTTGACTACTCTGTCTAGTTATAGAAATGGAATATCTTCTTACTATCTGCACTCTTATTTTCCAGTCCCTTCGTCAATCTAGTTATGCTTTCTGTCTCCCCTTTTTGAATCAAATGCCCTCCTATAGTTGCATGTAATTTAGCTTGCATGTTGTTGTTTCTAAGTGCCATTGAATTAGGGTCTGACTCTTAGCGATCCTATACAGGGTTTCCAAGGAGCAGCTGGTGAGTTGGAACTGCTGGCCTTAACGGCCCAAACCAACATTCAGTTTACCACATTAACTGGCAGCGCCACACCAGAATTTGGCTTGTATATAATATTCAAAATGATTACCTCTCCTTAGTTCATTAAATACTTTCTTATTTTGGATTCTAAAAGCTTTAACTCTCCTATATCACTGGTAACCCTTATCTGTGTCTTTTGTTGGATTCTTAATCTCTGCATCATCTCCAATTGTCTCTATGTTTTAGTGGTCAGGCCTGGGCATTATTATCTTCTTTGGTATATTTTCTTCCTACAGAATCACGTGTATCTCTATAGTCCACTCACATTTCCAGGTATTAGGATGTGGATATATTTTGGGGGCCATTATGTAGCTACTACTGTCACTAATTTCTACCCAGTATTTATACTAAGGAGTCCTGATGTGGTGTTGTAGGATAAACACTGGACTGCTAGCTTCAGGGTCAGCAGTTCAAACCTATCAACTGCTCCTCAAAAAGTCTATACAGGGTCCCTATGAGTTGGAATTGACTCAG